CCCAAAGCCTCATCCAACCTGGCCTTGAACACTTCCAGGGATGGGGCATCCACAGCTTCTCTGGGCAACCTGTTCCAGTGCCTCACCACCCTCACAGTGAAGAATTTCTTCCTAATATCCAATCTAAATCGACCCTCCTTCAGCTTAAGGCCATTCCCCCTTGTCCTGTCACTACACTCCCTGATAAACAGTCCCTCACCAGCTTTCCTGTAGGCCCCTTCAGGTACAGGAAGGCTGCAATTAGATCTCCCTGGAGCCTTCTCTTCTCCAGGCTGAACAACCCCAACTCTCTCAACCTGTCCTTATAGGAGAGGTGCTCCAGCCCTCTGATCAGCTTCGTGGCCCTCCTCTGGACTCGCTCCAACAGCTCCATGTCTCTCCTGTACTGGGGCCCCCAGAGCTGGATGCAGTACTGCAGGTGGGGTCTCACGAGAGCGGAGTAGAGGGGCAGGATCACCTCCCTCGACCTGCTGGTCACACCTCTTTTGATGCAGCCCAGGACACGGTTGGCTTTCTGGGCTGCAGGTGCACACTGCCGGCTCATGTTGAGCTTCTCATCAATCAATACCCCCAAGTCCTTCTCCCAGGTTGTTGGATGGGGCTTTGGGCAACATGGTTTAGTGGAGGGTGTTCCTGCCCACAGCAGGGGGGTTGGAATGAGATTATCTTTAAGGTCCCTTCCAACCCAACCATTCTATGATTCTATGATAATAACAGAATCATACCTTGTATGAATACCCAAGTATGTAAATCCATCCATACATAAGGCAAAAAAGTGCATCAAAATCTTCAATCTGGGAGACAGAAGTATGAGATCTAATAGCTGGTAAATTAACGGATATATGTTTGCAAAACTCATTTACTGGAATGACATACAGTTTTCCTTCTCTCAGATTCGTCATCCTTCTATAGATTTAAAATGTTTTCTTAAATAACAGTGCTACCTCAGTAGTAATTATTAGGTGTTCAACACAAGCTCAATGAAAAAAATATAAAAAGCTAACATGTTCAGTATCAAGGTGCATAGAAGTTGTATTTTATAATTTTAAGTACACATTCTTTAACATCTTCATTTTAATAATGTTCTTTAAAAGATAAGCACAAACATTTCTATACCCATTAAATACCTAGTTTAATTCGACATGATGCTTGTTCTAACAAACACTAATAAGAAAGATCATTATAGCCAATATTCAAAAAAGTCTTAAGAGTTTTTAATTGAAAAGACCATAATAACTAGCTCGTAATAGTAGCTGGCCATGAAGAAAATTAGAAAAATCAGTAAAGGCTGACTCTTACTTCAGCATTCATAGGGTTTACAAATTCTTTGACTTTATTAAAATTTTAACAAGCACTTAAAAAAAAAAACACCACCCAACAAAAAACCCGCAAACCAAAAAAACCCCCACAAAATAAATCTCTACAGCAATTTATGTAAATACAAACTTCGACAGGTAAGACCGATAAGAAGTCATATTCAACTCATTCTCTTCTAATGTTATCTGTCAAAAAAACCCCATGAAAAACCCCAAACTGCTACTAAACTATTATCTCTGTTGGCATTTTAGAGTCTTTCAGATACTTAGAAATTGTGCCTAGGTGTCCAACTCTCTGCTTTGCCAGATAAATCTCCTCCAGTACTACTTCAAACTTGGCTTCCTCCCCCTAATCATTCAAGAAGGGTATTTTACATATGAACACAGCAGCAAACATAGGGTAAGCTTCCAGAGAAACCACATGTGATCACCCTCAACCCATGAGCCTCCCGATCATTGCCAAGGGAAATCCCTTGTGAACTACTCATCAATGTATTTTACTTATCTACTAGAGTAGCACTGTTTTGTGCTGTAACGGTGTTGTCTTGGCAATAGTGAAATGATCTGGCATAGGATTTGCTTGGGAATTAAGGGGAAACGAGGAGGAAACGAGGAGGAAACGGACAAAAGCATCCATCAGTTCAGCATAAAGTTAATTTAATTTCATGCTATTAGATGTGGTTTACCTAGAACAGATCAGGACAAGTTATTATCAATATTGCACCACCAGCCATTACCATTTAAGCCTCAGGTGTGGATCAGGGTCCACCTGACTAGAAGTTTCAAAGCAGTATTTCTTTTTGACCATCCTCTGGGAGTCACACCAGTGAAGCCCTTCAGAATCTGTACATCACTGTGATATTATAAAAGCAAAACTGGTTTTAAAGAGAGATAAGATGTTTTGATCTTGGAATTTCTTCACACTGATCCCTAAAATAATAGAATCAAATTGTTTAATTCAGCCATACATAATCAGGGAAAAAAACCCCAAAAACGATCTGAGTCAGTTTTTCTCCTGTTCTTCTCCTGCGTCACCGAGATAATATTATATTCTTGTAAGGCTATTTAGCTTGTTTACTTCTTTTAAGACCAAAAATCTTTCCAATTGTTCTAAAAAGGAATATTATTCTTTTGTTTGAGGGGTTTGGGATTGGGTGTTTTTTGTTTTGTTTTATGTAAATGATCTTCAGACTGTAAAAAATGACTAGGAGCACTGATGAGAAAAGATGCTTAGATCGTTGAGGTTAATCTGCTCATAATCACCCCAAATACATAACTGATGTTGTGGACCTTTCTGGATTGAAGTTGCAAAACATTTCCATCACATTTTGAACTGTAATCCTTTGGTAATGGTCAAAAGCTGCAACTGCAGTGAGCCACAGAAATCAGAATGGGAAGGCAGAGGACATGGTAAGTTGTGCGCTGATCCTTGTAACACCAGATGCAGCCCAGAAAGCCAACTGTATCCTGGGCTGCATCAAAAGAAGCATGACAAGCAGAAGAGGGGTGACTCTCCTCCTCTACTCTGCTCTGAGATCCCACCTGCAGCACTGTGTTCACCTCTGGGGTCCCCAACATAAGAAGTACAGGGAGCTGTTGGAATGAGTCCAGAGGAGGGTCACGAAGATGATCAGAGGGCTGGAGCACCTCTCCTGTGAGGACAGGCTGAGAGAGTTGGAGTTGTTCTGCCTGGAGAAGAGAAGGCTCTGGGTAGATCTAATTGCGGCCTTCCAGTACCTGAAGGGGCCTACAGGAAAGATGGTGAGGGACTGTTTACAAAAGGGCAAGTAGTGACAGGACAAGGGGCACTGGCCTTAAATTGAAAGAGGGTAGATTTAGATTACATATTAGGAAGAAATTCCTCACTGTGAGGGTGATGAGACACTGGAACAGGTTGCCCAGAGGATGGATGCCCCATCCCTG